GGGGGGGGGGTTTGGTTTTTGGTTTTTTGGCTAGACAGTAGGGTTAAGTGACTTGCCCAGGGTCACACAGCTAGTGAGTGTTATGTGTCTGAGGCCAGATTTTAACTCAGGTCCTCCAGAGTCCAGGGCCGATGCTCTATCCACTGCGCCACCTAGCTGCTCCAATGCACAGGTTTTTCTTGAGGAGGCTAGGACAAATACTATGATTTGCAAAAGTTTTTAGTCCTTTAGCGACTGGTGATACTGTGTTAAAAATGAGTATGTGATTTGAGGAAAAATACTGGAAAATATAATTAAAATCACACCATCTCTATATTGTGGAAATAGTGATGCTTGCAGGCTACTGCCCCATCCTTTGGGAAACAGCCCCTGTGGAGACCAAGCCTGGCCATTGCTCCTGCAGGGGTTATGGACCCAGCTACCAAAGACCCAGAAAAGAACATTCTTGCCACCAGAGTCCTCAGCACTGCCTCATGGTCAGACATCAGAAATGGCTCTGACCTTATCAGGGAAATGACATTAAAGAAGAGGCCTGGCTGTCTGCTTCATGTCTGCCTCCTAAGGGCGACTGCTGAGCCTGCCACATGTGTGTTCTCCAATGATCCATCAGTCAGTGAACATTAAGCACCCACTGAGTGGCAAGCCCTCATGGCTCAAGGGAGACCACACATAAAAGGAAGCAGAAAAGCTGGGGGGGGGGGTGGAGGAGAATACCCTGGCACAGAATCCTGCACAAGAGAGAATTCCAGAGGCCGAAAGTGCAGCCAGCTGGGAATAAAGAGGCAGCTGGCCTGGGCAACCTCCTGCAGTGGCCCAACTTGGACAAGTCTCTATGCTGGTCAGAGGGAGGGATGCCAGGGGCGGAGGATGATGAGAGGCGATGCCAGAGCTACAATGATCTTGCAGAATGAAGAAGCTTCCGGGACATGATGGAGAAGTCCAGAAGTGGTTTGAACATAATAAATGCTTTATTAATGCTTCTTTCATTCATTCAGAGGAAGGAGAGGGGCAAAGACTCAGACAAGAAAGGCAGAGGCTGTTGGGACAGTTACCATATGATAATGTCTTTACATACTTAAAATACAGTAGGTATTGATCCAAGTCTGCACCAGTGGACTTTAGTGGCCCTTACAGCTCTAAATTCTCTAACTTCTGCTTTTTGGCTGGCCTGTAGTGTTCTCTGGAGACACATGGTGGAACATAGGTCTACAAAGGGAGGTTGAGCACTCCTAGGTCTGTATCCCAAAGAGCTTTTAAAAGAGGGGTGGGAGTGGGGGAGGACCTATTTGTACAAAAATATTTATAGAGCTCTTTTTGTGGTGGCAAAGAATTGGAAATCTAAGGGATGTCCATCAATTGGAGAATGGCTAAATAAGCTGTGGCATATGATTATGATGGAATATTATTGTTCTATGAGAAATGAAGAGCAGTATTATTTCAGAAAAACTTGGAAAGTTTTGCATGAACTGATGCAGTGCGAAGTGAACAGAACCAGGAGAACATTGTACACAGTAACAGCAACATTGTGTGATGACCAACTATGATAGACTTAGCTCTTCTCAGCAATGCAATGATCTAAGACAATTCCAAAAGACTCGTGATGGAAAATGCCATCTACATCCAGAGAAAGAACTGTGGAGGCTGAATTCAGACTGAAGCATACTGTTTTTCACTTTGTTTCTTTCATTCTTTTTTGTTGTTTTTCTAGTCTTTTTGTACAAAATGACTAATATGAAAATGTTTTACTTGATTGCACTTGTATAACCTATGTCAGATTGCTTACTGACTCAGGGAGGGGGAGGGGAGGAAGGGATAGAATTTGGAAGTCAAAACTTTAAAAAATGTTAAGAATTGTTTTGACGTGTAATTGAGGGAAGATAAAACATTATTTTAAAAATGATTAAAAGTTGGGAAAGTACAAAACAAAACAAAACAAAAAAAGGCTTGTAACCCTGACCTGATTAAATTAGCAAACACTAAAATAATAAAGAAGAAAAACAGCTTGAGGCCGAGCCAGGGAGGGCCTAGAATGCCAAGCAGAGGAGCTTAGACTTTCAATTTGCTGTCATTTAAGAGCATTAAAAAATCATGACTAGGGAAGTCGCATGATCAAATCTGTGGACTATAGTTGCCGTTGGAAAGTGGCCAGAAATAGCAGCCACCAGCTGACAGAGGCAACCGGGTGATCCTGTGGAGAGAGTTCAGGCCCTGTCATCAGGGATACATGACATGGAATCCCGCTTGCGCCACTGGCAGTGTGATTCTGTACAAATCATTTAATCCCTGTCTGTTTTCTGTTTCCTCGTCTGTAAAAGGTGGATGATGACAGGCCCTCTCTTCCAGGATAGCTATTAGAATAAAATGATATGATTTTCTGAAAGCACTTGGCAAACCTTAAAGTACTATGTAAAAACGACCTAATATGATGAAAAATATTGTAAAGTTTTTTACATTATTTAAAACTAATTTAATATTTGTATTTATCATCCATAGTACCTATTTTTAATAACTGAGGATGGACCATTTCTCTCTGTTTACTGCTCATAGGATAGTTTCAGAGTCCTATTGATGTCAGTTTTTTGTTTGTTTTTGGTTTGGTTTTGTTTTGCTAGGCAGTGGAGGTTAAGTGACTTGCCCAGGGTCATGTAGCTAGTAAGTGTCAAATATCTGAGGCTGGATTTGAACTCAGGTCCTCTTGACTCTAAGGCCAGAGTTCTATCCACTGTGCCACCTACCTGCCCCCTTGATATCAGTTTTTTTGTTTTGTTTTGTTTTGTTTGCTTTTTGGTGAGGCAGTTGGGGTTAAGTGACTTGCCCAGGGTCACACAGCTAGTAAGTGGCAAGTGTTTGAGGCCGGATTTGAACTCGGGTCCTCCTGACTCCAAGGCTAGAGCTGTATTCACTCCGCCTCCTAGCTGCCCCTTGATATCAGTTTTGACTGATATTCAGTAACAATCCCTAGAATAACAAAATTCATGAAATACTGCCTTCTCTTTCCTTCTCTATTTCCTCCTGCCCATGAGGAAGGTGCTGGCATTAGATAAGGAGCCACCATGTTGAAATGGAGCCGTTGGTCCAGAGTAGCTTAGACAACAAAGACTGAACTGAGTTGGGATATGAGGTGTACCAACTTTCTAACCTAGTCTTGGTGTGCTAATGGGAGCTCTTGCCTGTTTCACTGATGCCAGGGCTCCAGGCACAAATGCCAGGCTTGACTTCTTACCCTCTGCCTTCTTCTCCTTACTTCTGGTACTCCTGTGTTCTAGTCTGTGTCCTAGAATCCACTCCCCATTCTGCTCCCAGAACTCTCCTCTCACTCCAACTTCCACTCTGCCTGAGTACGTAGCAGCACGCAGGTGGTTCATCTTTAAAAGCATCTGATTAAAATCATTCCCACTGAAGTACTATGGGGCTTAGTTTTCCCAGAGGACACCTGCATTTTAAGAAGCATAACTGGCTAACCCAAATGAAAGACTAATTGGTGTAATGTGTGGAGAAGAGATTTTTGAAACCTTACCCACTCTCTGTCCAGGTTTCCTTCCCACTCTTCCAGGAAGTAAATTAGTTGGAATAAGCAGTTAGCACCATTAGACACTGACATCTTTTTTCTTCATTACTCCTCTACATATACTTTTATCAGAAGAGTTCATAGGACTCAGTACAAATATGCAGTCCTTGCCTGGGGAAAGCTTGGAATATGGCTTAGGACAGTAAAAAACCATGAATCGGAAATCTGGGAAATCAGAGGACCTTCTTTCTATGCAAGTGCATTGTTTGGTTACATTATGTTAAAACCTTATTACTGTGACTGATCATTGGTTTCATGTCTTAGTGTTTTCAAAATTTGCATCTGAAAATCTCTTTATGGAGGTGGGGGTGGGGTTTAAGAATGGTGTTCCTGTTTAGAAAAGGCCATTTGTGTATTTGCAGATACAAGTATATCTTTCATCCCCAAAGCTGTCTCCTTCCTTCATTCTCTTTACTTATCACCAGTGTTAACAGTGGCCATCCCATGGAGCCCTCGTGTGGCCAGGCTTCATCCACATCCAGTGAGTCATGTGCTTTGGACTCTTGATAAAGGGCATACCCAGCCAGCAGCCAGAGGAGGTCAGGGCACAGGCCTTGTATTCCATGGGAAGCCATAGCCAGAACAGTGTCACTGTAAGCAGCCATGTGTACTCTATGGGATGACTGCTGGTTCACTGGCAACATGACTATTACCTTAAAATGTTAAAAAAAAAAAAGTAATCTTTTTTTTTTTTGTAAGTGAAGCAGTTGGGGTTAAGTGACTTGCCCAGGGTCACACAGCTAGTGATGTTATGTGTCTGAGGCCACATTTGAACTCAGGTCCTTCTGACTCCAGGACCAGTACTCTATCCACTGCACCACCTAGCTGCCCCTAATATTTATTTACTAGTCTCTGTTAAGCAGCAGACTGAGAAGTTATTGACTCTAGTATCTTTGTGTCCTCAGGAAAAACTTCAAAAAGCAGAAGCTAACCTGGGGGAAGAATGTAGATCTTGACAGGAATTCATTTCCGGACTCCAGGCCTTGTCAGTGATTGTTTCCCATGCCTGGAATGCTCTCCCGCCTCATCTTCCTCTCTGATTCCCTTAAAATCCTACCTTCTGTGAGAAGCCTTTCCTGACCCCCCTTAATCCAATTATCTCCAATTTATCCTGTACATATTTTGTTTGTGCATAGTTGTTTATATGTCGTCCTGCACACTAGCCTTGAAAGCAGGGACTGCCTTTTGCCTTTCTATGTAACCCCACTGCTTAGCACAGCCCCTGGCACATAGTAGGTGCTTAATAAATGTTTATTGACTGACTGGCTGGACAGATTAATTGGGTGAGCAGCCATGATTTCTTTTAATACTTGTGGATTTGGACTGCTGTCTTTAGAACAGAATGGTTTCAGATTTCAATCAGATATTCATTCCCATTATAAAAGACATGTTTGTGAAACTAGGCTAATTTGCATTTTATCTTTCCCTCCAGAATGTGGCAGATCAGATTGCATTTCAAGTTGCTGGAGGACTGACAGCCCTTGAACATATCCTTCAGGTAGTAAACTCGACCAGCAGCGTGAATGCAGTTTCAAGAATTCCTCCGAAGTGAGTACAGTTTTTAGTGGATGCTTTCATGGGTTATTTTTTAGTTGTTAACTGCCCTTCAGTCTCCAGTTGGGGGACATCTGAGAGAAACATCCTGAATGAAATGTTATGTTTAGGTGTAAGCAGGAGAAACTTGCTTTCCCTGCAGAGAGAAAACAGGCGACTCTTTGCTTCATTTCCTGAAATCAAATGAGGCCTAGAGCCTTCTTAAAGGAAATCTCCTTGGTCTGTGATCGTCACCCGGTGCTAACTCAGTCCTGACTGCTCCTTGCAATGGGACAAAAGGGAATAGAGGTAGCACAGAACACTGGCTTCTTGTAGCCTGAAAAATTAAGGGCCTGAATGTAAACACTGTAACAGAAGCCCGTGAGTGGGGTGGGGGTGGGGTCTCCCACAAAACCGGTAGATGTCAAATCGGAGTTTTATCTTGTGACAGCAGTTGTTGTTTGTCATAAAGAGCCCTCGCCTCCTTTTAGACACCAGACATGCTGTTAAGATACCCTCTGATCATAGGCCACAAGGGATGTCATTCTAAATGTAGTTGCTCTGTACAGAATATGAAAATTCAGGGTTTTTATGGTAGACTTTGATTTGGCACAGTCTTATTGAGAGGTTTGCGAAAAGTGAGTTTCTGTTGCAGAGAAAACTGTATTTAAACTTGTAGCTCTGTGGAAACTACCTTTCTACCAGTTGTCAATAGCAGAGAAAAAAAATACTTTTTTCCCCTTTATTTACAGTATACCTGCATGCATCACGTCTCTTTCAAGCCAGCATTATTAGTTCTCTTTTTTTCTTATGTGCTAACTTGAAATTAGATATTGCTAAGTATAAAACCTGTGGCACTGGTAAATGTTGGTGACTTCTACAGCAAAATATTCCGTTTGGTTTACTCATTCACATTAGTAGGCAAAGAAAGCATACTAGAATGAGGTTTGGGTAGGCTTTGACCTAATGGAAAAATGTGAAGGTTTAACTTTCCTTTAGAAAATGGAAGACATGAGATTTTGCTGTTATTTCAAATTTGTTAGAAGCCTGCATTGTGCTGGTCTCTGTTTTGTGTAGATCCTTGTATAAGGGAGTGACCCTTTCTGACATTAAACAGTTTTGATCATTGAAGGTGGCAAAGACACAAACAAATATGCAACCCTGAAAGGGCAGCTACTCAGAGTCATTTACCCAGGGGAAAAGCTGCTTCGAGCTTCTGTGTTTCAGTTGCTCATTTCATATGACAGACGTAGAACTTTGGTGTTAATGACTGGAGAGCCCAAACCTAGAACTGTTTTATGATTATTGGACAAATGTATTTTGCCCGGTTATGTTTTAGCCAGCAGAGACAAGAATTGGGTTAGTCATGATAAACTAGAGTGATGTTTCTTAAGGGGATGATCCATTTCTGAACCAAGCAGAGCAGGTCAAAGAACAGATTTCAAAGCAGTGGAAGATGTAGCAATAGCTTTCTGCACTGGGGTCAGAAGAGACCTCAGAACCGTGTGGATGCAAGCTGTATGTAGGTATCTACACTGTCACTTATTGTCAGAAGGAATTGACTGGTGAAAGAGACTTTGTGTCTCTGCATTGCCTTCTGTTGTCATCCAAAGCAGAACAGAAAAAGGCTTCCTGCTAAGGTGGTGGAGAAGAAGGACTTTGAAACTCAGCCAAAGAGCAAACTTGGAGGGCCTTCTGCAAGCCCTTTCATGAAGACCCTGATACTACCTCATCTGAGCTCAAAGCTGGAAGTACTGAATACTGCAGCTACCAGGGTGCAATGAGAGTAGACTCAGCTGAATAAAGGCTGCTTAATTCTTCCTCACTATCTGCCCGCAGAGTGATATCATCTGCGTGTCTGAAATTGTCATCGTCTCTCCCGACAACCTTAATTCTGGCCTTTGATTTGTTGATCCTGGCATTTTGCCTGATGTACGCTGCACATGAGTTAAATAGATGAAGTGATAATGGATAGCCTTGTTGCACTCCTTTTCTCCTCTTAAACCAATCAGTTATTCCATGTTCGGTTCTAACTGCTGCTTCTTGGCCCAATGTAGTCTCTTCAGGAGAGAAGTCAGATGATGTGGTACTCCCATCTCTTTGAGGAGTTGCCACAGTTTGTTGTGATCCACACAGTCGAAGATTTTAGCATAGTCGATGAAGCAGAAGTAGATGTTTTTCTGGAACTACTTTGCTTTCTTCAAACCTAGTGAACCTTGGCAGTTTGGTCTCTAGTTCCTCTGCCTCTTTGAAAACCAGCCTGCTTTTCTGGTAATTCTCAGTTCACATATTGCTGAAGCTTAGCTTGCAGAATCTGAAGCATAACCTTACTAGCGTGTGAAATGAACACATTTGTTCCGTAATTTGAACAATCTTCGGCATTGCTCTTCTTTAGGATTGAGACATAAACTTATCTTTTCCAATCAAGTGGCCACTATTGAATTTTCCAAATTTGTTGGCATCATTTTTCAGGATTTTAAATAGCTTAGCTGGAATTCCATCACCTCCACTAGCCTTATTGTTAACAATGCTTCCTAAGGCCCTCTTAACTTCATTCTCCCAGATGGCTGGCTCTAGATTAGTAACCACACTGTTGTGGTCATTGGGGATGTTAAGATCTTTCTTGTATATTTCTTTTGTGTCTTCTTACCACTTCTTAATTTCTTCTACTTCTGTTAAGTCCCTATCATTTTTCTTTTATCATGCCCATTTTTGCATGAAATGTTCCCTTGATAATCTCTAATTTTCTTGAAGAGGGCTCTTGCCTTTCCCAGTCTGTTATTTTCTTCTGTTTCTTTGCATTTCCATTTAATAAAACCTTCTTATTTCTCCTTGTTATTCTCTGGAATTCTGCATTCAGTTGAGCATATCTTAATCTTTCTCTTTTACCTTTGTGGGAGAGAAGAGATTTTAGGTTACCAAAATGAAGTTCTACAGAGCCGTTGTGCTGACCTCATTATTGTATGCCTGTGAAACTTGGACGGCATGCCACTGCCATGCCAGGAAACGTAATTTGAATTGTCTTAGGAAGCTTCTGAAGATCACCTGGCGAGATAAGGTCCTGGACACTGAGGTCCTTTCTCGAGCTGAACTGCCAAGCATTCAAACTCTGCTGCAGAGAGTGCAACTCAGAAGGGCTGGCCACATTGTGCAAGTGCCAAACGTACACCTGCCTAAAACACTATTTTATGAAGAACTCATGCAGGGAAGACACTCACATGGTGGTGAGAAGAAGTGATATAAAGACACCCTCAAGGTCTCCCTGCAGAATTGATTGTGTGACATGGGAGACACTGGCAAAGGACCTCCCAGCATGGTGTACCTGCATTGAAGAAAGCGCTGTGCTCTATGAGCAAAGCAGAATTGCACCAGCTCAAAAGAAATGTGAGATGTGTAAATTTAGAGAGATCCTCATCCCAAATGTTTATGCCAGCTGTTTGTGCCCAGCCTGTGATAAATCCCTCTGAGCTCATATTCTGACCAGCCACAGTGAGGCACATTGTAACTGGACTCCAATGTTGTGAGGTCATTTTGGTCTTCTTTGACAACAAAGGACAACAAGCAGCTAGCCAGCCAGCATGACACCAGCAAATCTAATCTTACCAGACCTTCTTAGGGGCATTCCATCCTTTACCGGAAGTCTGTCATCCCCACATATATATTTAGCCCAAAGGCCAAATCACACTCTGTGTCACCATATTCTTAGCTAGCTGTTTACTTCTCAAATAAATTTTTCTTATTTGTATCCCTTTCTTTCAGTGGGCAACAGTGAGAAAAATACAGCCTGTGGCCCTCTGGTCTTAAGCTTCCTGTCTCAGACAATAATCTTTGGCCAACTTTTTAGGTTCCTTCTTGCACTATTAATTGTGTCTTCCTGAATAACCAGGTATCAAAATCACTGAAGACTTTAAAAATGTGCGGGAAGTAAATTTACAGTTATAAGTAAGGGATCTTGGTTGCAGGCTCTTTGTGACCATCACAAGCAGCTCCAGAAAATCATTTGGGATTACCACATTTTTCCCTTGAAGTCACGGTGGTGTGGTGTGAAGGGCTTTAGACCCGATTACTGACCCTGCCATGTCATAGAATGTCACCTTTGTGAAGTTCTCTGGGTCATCTTGGCAAACTTCTTCATTTCCCATTTGAGAAAGCTGATGCCAAAAGAAGTTGAGGTGACTTGACTCAGTTTTCATAGCTATTAAGTGGCAGAGCTGGAGCTTAGATTGGGGCTTCTGACTCTTCTCTACAGGAGCAGTTTTAAGGTTATCATTGATAGAAATTTATGTGAATGCTCTACTCAGCATTCACTTCTCTTAGCAAGAAGAATGTTTTTAGTGCCAAGAAAATTCAGCCTGAAGCAAGGAAAGTCTGAATTCCAGCTGTGGCACACGTTATTTTGCTTCAATACATCAGTCTCAGCGCATGAATAACCACAAAGGAGTAAATGGCAGAGCCTTGCCTTTGTGTGTGATTGAGATTATTAACATTTGTTAAACAACATAATTTTTGTTTGGCAAGAAGTGTAGTTTTCTTTGAATACAAAGAAAGCCACCTTGTGTTATGTCAGTAAGTAGATGGATCAGCTATAGCAGGAATCTTATGCCAAGATTTTGTATTGTTTTTACTGTATGTTTATGTAGCAGAAATGACAATAAAGATGAAAATTGGCACATACCCTCTGCAGAAACCTTCATCAGCCTTGGCCCATCTCCATGCCACTGCTCAAAAGCAAAGGGTCTGTCAGACTGCTGCAAAAGAGGCTTTCCCACTGCATGGGGGTAAAGGGGCAGGCAGATGGGTCACTGCACCACGAACTCCATTACTGAGTGTGTAAAGGATCTCTTTTTTCCTCTCTATTACTAATCATCTTCTTTCTTGTTGTTTGCATCTCCACCAGTGCTCCAGGAATAAATCTAGTAGGGTGAAGCTCAGATCAGCCTGCATTGCTATTTGCCAATAGCTTTGATCAAGGTTTTGGTGGGAAGAGATTGGAGCTACTGTTCCTTGTATTGTTT